CAAAATGACATTTTTGAGTTTTGAGGAAACACGTATGAAATTTCAACTCTTTATCTGCAAGGGTGTAGACAGGCACACGGACAGAGTGATACTGTTAAGCATTGATATTTACATTTTCATTAGAAGAATAAAAATCATTTTATATAAAGTGCCTAAAAACAATATTTGGCACAAAAGCAATGCTTACATAAGTGTTCGTATATATTTACTCTAAATTTAAACGTATGAAAAGGATTGAAATCTTAATTTAAGAATTGTGCATTAAAGATAAACAAAAGATCATATAAAATATAAGGGACAAATTACAATCACATTACATTTACATACATATATCTGTAGTTAAGGTATGTATATTGTTTCAATGTTGGTTGCGAGCTCATTTTATAAAAACATCATGTGCGCGATTTTTTTGATTTTTTGTTGTTTCTTTTTAGAGAATTCAATACGATACCCATTTATGGTTGACAAACTTTGCGAACATTTGTGGCATAAGTTAAAGTGTGGTTCTTTAAGTAATAAATTGGAAAATCCGTCTGTTTGTATCCTTTTCTTTTCCTATATATCTTTAAATAAGTAATTTTATATAGTCGTACATAATACTCACATGTACCTTATAAAATTAAGTTACAATAATTTGGTACTAAATTTTATAAGTACGAATGAAAAAATTTTTTATATGTATAGAAAAATTAACATCTGTACTGCACATTTTAGAATTATAATTTTATTATATTTAGATAATGGTAATAATTCTAAAAATAGAAAAAAAACGATTATTTCCCAAAAAGAGTTACCTAATGAAATTTGAAATTCTTAAATTTAAATTTTACCATATAAAATTAATCAAATTTCTTTTTAAATTCATGTACTGAAAAATTAATGTAAAAAAAAGTAATGTAGGATATATTATTTTTAAATTTAAAAAAACTTAAAATGTCTGTATAAAAATCAATTAAAAACCTGCTCATGCACTACTAAGCAATTGCATTCAATATAAAATAATTACTTATGCCTGGTATGCTGTTTCTCTATATGAAAGAGAGATTTAGTTGAAATTTCAGACACTGCCGCATATGTTTTACAAAATACACATATTTTAAAAAAAATTCATAAACTATTTTATTTAATTCTTAAAATAGATAATTATTTTCTTATTAATCTAATCGATTTACCTTATTAATTATGTTAAGGAAACAGATTATTCGAAATCAACCCAATACTAATTATTGTTACCTTATTATATATATAAATACTTATGCTTATACCTAACATAATATAATTATACGTAATACACTTGTACCTAACAATTTCCTTTTCCTTTTTTCCATTCAATAATCAAAATTCGTCACTTATTCTGATTAATAATCCAACAACCTCGTGTAGTTAAGTAGCACAATATATTATAGTTATTATTTGATGTTAAATTAAATAAGGAAAAGAAGAATTTTCGACAAAAAACATTTGGAAATGACTTATAAATCAATTATAAATTAACAATAGGTACATATGTATATACTATGTAGTTTCAAAATAAAACTCTAAATTGCTTTACCTACTTGAAAGTAAATATAGTAAACAGCAGTCAGGAATGTTATAAATGTATAAACAGCCCCACATATGGACGGTTACAAGTTTGAGAAAAAATATTAATGTCAGCATATTTTCTTGATAACTTTTAATTTGATTTGAATATTACAACTATTAAACTAATATTTTTTAATGCATTATGACTTGAACAAGTAGCAGAATGACATTTTAAGTATAACACTAGTAACGAGTAAATATGTGTAAAAAATTAATTTAAATGCTTTAATTTAAATCGTAATGAATATTATTATTATAAAATTTTTTTAAATTTCTAGTATTAACGTTGATAAACTTACTTAAAATAAAACGATTGTTATTAATTTTAATTCAAATATTTCAAAATAAATAATAATAAATTAAGGTTCTAAGAAATATAGATTATATAAGGCAAGCTCCATATGTATCGTTGTAGCAATGACAGAGCAAGTTGAAGTCAATAAGTCTTAAATAAGTAAGTACAGTTTTAAATAATGTTAAATAGTAACTGTTGTAGGTCAAAGCAATGATATTCTAACTTTTATTTATAAATAAAAGTTTTGTAAACGTTTTGATCGAACTACCTATGCAGTATTCATTTTTAAAGTTTTTGATTGCAAATCAAAACAAATTTCTCCAGTAAATATAAAAACCAAATTTACATTTTCCTGGATACATTTAAGTAATGGCTATTTTCTATCTTTCATAAAATTTGAAATAAAATTTTCATAATTAAAAGAAATTTTTATAATTTTATGCAATCGGCAGGTTATGTGCTGTTCACATCACATTTTTATATCCGTAAGAACGTATGTTCGAAGGGTATACTAAATTTGCCTTACCGTTTGTAATGCTAAGAAATAATGGTCAAGTCAGTCAAGTGTATGTTTCTGATCAGCGTCAAATTCTGAGTTGATTTAGCTTTATCTGTCCCCCTGTCTGTACAAGCGATAACTCAAAAAATAATTGAGCTAAGCTCACCAAATTTTCACAAATGATTTAATATAGTAAGTGCCAGAACCCTATTTAAATTAGGCACGACTGGGGAACTGGTTCGGTTCGTATAAGTAAATATATTAGTAGGGCCAATGTGTTTAATAAAAATCGTTGAAATTGCTTGGCTCTTTCTGGAAGCAGCCATATAAGTCCAAAAGTTATTTGGAATTATCTCAGAAATTATTGGAATTATAATATAGAAATTTCGTGAAAACAAGTGTATATTATTAGGGCTGGTATGTGTGATAAAAATAGTTGAAATTTTTTGACTCGTTGTGGTAGCAGCCATACAACTTCAATAGTAGTTTGGCCATTTTTTAGAAAACATTGAAAACACAGTACTGAAATTTTTTATAATTTGATATGGTAATACGACAACTTAAATGACATATTCAGATGAAAGTCAGCTATGACATATTTATTCGCACATAGGATAACAAATTCGTACGGGTATCACAGAGTTTACACGGCCAACTCTTCTTTTCTCGTTTTAATGTATTTTTACGCTACGAACTCAATTCGAAAGTTTTTTTTCTAATTTGTTTCTTGCGCATTTTATTCTGTCAATTGTAGTAATGATTTTGATTTTAAAAATTTATAATAATTGACATAAATATGAACTATTACAATATTCTTTGTACGAATATATTACTTGCATGTTAGTTAATTTATAATTTAAATACAAATTTCTTTTTTAACAACTTGCAAGTAATTGTAGTTTTATTTGATTTAAGTCAATCAATATTATAAAATAAAATTAAAATAATTTATTGTTATTTCCTCATTTTTTCCTTATATCAATGATTCATGACGTACTGTAACAGTCATTGTCTAATTAAATAATACACGTATTTAAATTTGAATTTATATATAAAATAGATATAGGAGACAGACGTTTACAATTTGGCAACATTCTATTTCTAATAATTTATTCTAAAAAATCAAGTAAATTAGAACACTTAACATCAAAAATTACTAAAGATTTATTATAATTTTTATCAAAACAAACTTTTATTCGGACTTTTAACTTTTTAACTTTTGGAACATGGTAATTTGTGATTTGTATGAAAAAAAATAAAATGAATAAATGATGTCCTGCTTTGGCTTAAGGAAGATTGGCAGTACTTAAATTTTATTATGTCATTGCTGCAAGCCTTCAACGTTCTACGCTGTGTCGGTGTGTTATATACTATAACAAAAAAGTTTTAAAATACAGATTTACATATTTAGACCAACATGTACATTTACATACGTTTAATAATTTTGTATCAAATTACAATAATGATACAAAGTTATGCATGTTTTCATATTATTCATTAAACAATCACTTTTTGTTTGAAATCAATTTCCAAAGTAAAAACGGGATCAAACCATACTAATTATTATTTTTCACGCTTATATAAAATAATTTTGCTTTCTGTAGAAGCATATGTAGTTAAAAATAGATACAAAATTTATTTTTTTTTTGAGAACATTAAATATAATTAAGGATTACAAAAATTTCAGCAAATTCAAATCGATTTCGTTATTAAATTATTTTCTTTAAATAACAATAGAGAATTAAAAAAATAGGTCAATTCAATTATTTCTTCAAATTGAACTATAATGCCAGTATTTTTACCACACAAAACAATCAAAAACTTTAATTTTCCATAAATTTGTAATGCAAAATGTAAGCAACATGAATAAGTAGTTTCAATGAAAATGATTTTTTTAAATAAAATTGTTTTTTTTTTTTGTTATTTTTCGAGCACAGGGGGTTCCTAAATTAAAAACTGTGTTTATTGTTGTTTTAAGAAGAAACAATTTCAAGATAGAGCTTGATATTTAATTTATGATATTACTACAAATGACTTAAAATGCATTAACATTAGTTCGTTTTCATTTTTGTGAAACATTAACAAAGTTTTTGTTAAACAAAAAAAAATTTGCTTTAGGTAGCTCACCAAATAAAAAATTTCAATTTTTATTATTCAAATTTAAAACTGCAGAAAAATTTAAAAAATGCAGACGGAATGAAAAAATTGCTCATTGACGATGATACTCGATGATCAAAATTAATTTAGACGGTAGAAGTTTCAGAAAACAAATTATTGTTAATGTGTTTTATACTGATTGGGTAGTTTGTTAGACGAATTAGTACTAACAGTTAAGTAATAAAAGTTTCAACATAAAAATAAAAAAGAACGGATTGTACATTTCTTCATATCGTTGATCTGAAAGATGCCATCAGTTTAATATAGTCAGAAAGAAGACAAACTAAGAATTTTTATACTTAAAAAAAAATAGTAAAAAAAAATTATAAACTTTAAGTTTGAAAACAATTTACGAATGACAAAAATCTTTTATTTATTTTGAATTTTTTATTTATTCAATTATATTACAAAATAATAATTTGTTTGATATAATTTATTTAATTTAAAAATAAAATTTTTACTTACCATTTTTTTATGATTTTATTATAAAAAGAATTTCCGAATGTAATCTTTCTTAAAAATTTCTTATTTTAGAATGCTAATTTAATATTCTTATTTTGTAATGTAAGTTAAAATAATTATTAAATTTTTGCACGTTCGTCACAATATTTTCTTCGTTTTTGTTTTTTTATATTTGTTTACCCAAAAAGCATCATATGGAATTAAAAAGAAATTTTTATGCAATGAATTTGGCTCCAATAAATTTACAATATGCAAATTGCTCGATTTTATTGTTTTTTTGTTTATTTGAATTATAAAAGAGACAAAAGTATCCTTTTTTGAATAAAATATCCTTATTTACATTTTTGTAAATATAATATTATGGTTTGTTCTTCAAGCAAAATTAAATAATATATATACATACATAAGTTCTTTGCTTTCAATTATAAATTTTATTAAAAATAATTTATTAATGTTTCCTGTATTCTCTTTTTAAATTACTTTTTTATTCTTTTTTGTTTCTTAAAAAGAGTATGAAGTGTAATAAGTGCTTATAATTATGTTTACAATTTATTATTATAAAATGAAATGTAAAAAAAATTAAAACTGTTTTTTTTTCTGCTTTTTTTTTACACTCACAAATGGTTTTCCTTTTTTATTTCATAATTGCTCTATAATAATAATAATAATAATTATAATTATAATAATTACAATTATAACAATAAATTATTATAATGTTACAATATTATGAATAGGGAGAACATAATATACACATGTTAAACAAACATATGGTGTTACAAGCGGAAATTATGATACAAAAATGTCTATGTAAAGAGAAATTCATATGTCAACTTATTATAATAACAGAACACTGTTAAATAATCTTTATTACAATTTATAACTGTTAATGACCAAATTTATTATAGCAAATATTGATGATAATTTAATAATTTGGAATTTTAAAAATTTATTTTAAATTTTCACTTTGATAAACCAAAAATTCACCATATAAAACAATTTAAAACTTTCACAGGTGAAAGTTTTTCAAATAATATTCTCACAAATCAGAATAAATATGAATTTTTTAACATTTACATTCTCTCCTCTAAAAATTTTCAAATGAGATTTTACAATAATTTTGATACTTCCCACTAAAAAACAGAATAATTTTAAATTTTTATTTTTATCACAATACCTCAAAAAAACACGACTTAATTGTCCGACGTTTAATCAACGACTGATTTAAAATTAATTTAACATTTCATTAACAGCAAGCAAACGATGCCTAACATATACACACAACAGCTTTTTTTTATTATAAAATGAGTAAAATAAAATAATGAATTAAAAATAAAAAACAATTTTAACAGTCCTTTTCGGAAATTCTGGAATTCTGGAATTGTTTTCATAATCTAATATATTGAACTAATTTATATGTGTGTGTTAATATTGAATGTATACATATGATACACATGCATACAAACACAATTATATTTTTACCCACTATGTTCATATAAGAAAATTCGGCTTTTTCATTTCCATCTATAAAATATAAATACCGTAATTTTGTAATATTTAAGTGTATGTACATACATCCATATGCATTACATTATTTCTCTCTTTTTATTTTTTTAATACATGTTCACGCAATCGCGTGGATAAGTACAATATATTATAATGTTTATAGATTTTTATTTGTGTAAATGTATAATTGGAAATTGCTCCTCACTCGGAACTCAATCATCAAATTTCGTTGTTTTTTATTTTTGTTATTCTGCACATATTATCATCATTATTTTTATTTTTGTTTAGTGTCAGATGTTTCAGTACCCACATGTTGTTTTTAAAAAAATGCAATAAGAATATGTATATGCATATGTAGTACATAGTATAGAAACATGTTTACAAATGTTCTTTATATTTATGTGTGTATATTATTATGTTCACATGAAAAAAATTATGGAAATAACAATAGTGTATAAGCATGGAATTTAAGAGGGCGAAAAAATAGAAAAAATCGTTTCAGCTTTTTGTGAAGATCAGAAGCGACCATTCTTTAGTTTTATAAACCTGGAAACTCTCAATTTTTCCTACATTATATTAAAGCTCCTATGATGATACACAATTATTTTTTCACGTTATTACTGCCAGATTTTGGGCTTCACGACATTTTGCTCAGTTTCATAAGATGACATATGTAAGAATATCGTATTATTGCAATTTCGATCGAAGTCAAAACACTTGCCCTTCAGAAAACAAAGAGACTGAATTTGAAAATTTGCATTCAATTATATCTTTGAAAAAAAATTATAAATCATATAAAAAAGTGACAACTTGACTTAAAAATAGCAATGCTAGTAGTAACACTTTTTAAGCTTCTATACTGTAATACAAACGGCAAATTATAACTATTAAGGTAACATCGTATTGTTTTAATACTGCGTTAATACAATTTTGAAGAAGTCAGGAATAATTAATTACGTCCAATAACTAATAACACGTCCAAGCCTTGATTTGCTTAAGTCGCGTCAATTACAAAACACAGATATTTAGAAAATTGTATAAAAGCCAAACCACAAAACTATATATGTACATATTTTAAAAATATTCAACAATCAACATTCACAGTCCAACCCATAAACGCACTTTTGTACTACACATACATTGATTAAACACATTTCATAAATTCCAGTAGGTACAGATGTGCATGTGAAGAGAAATCCTAACCGGCTTTTATCTCTCGTTTTATATTTTGAATAGGAATGGAGCGAAAGGAAAAAGGAAGTTTACCACGAACATTTACAGATTATTTTTAAGCATAGGAATTTTGTCTAATTGAAATTTACAAGAGAAAACCAGATACAACACGGACAACATTAAAATATTTCGAATGTCTATGCAACAACATGAATTATATATACATATACGTATGACATTCATACTTATGTATATACAAATGTATTATGTAAAACATATGTGTATATAAATGTGACATATACATGGCGTAATAGTATAGAATCTGAAGAATGTAAAATGTGTTATTTTGATTATAAAATAAGATATATTAAACGGGAAATTCTTGGCGCAATTTTCGTTTTCATGGTTGTATTTTTCTTTCTCTCTTTCAAACAAAATTTTTTTTATTCTCCTTTATTTATTCCCAATATTCTTTCACAAGAATTTGTAATTATTTCCTTTTTCGAAAGAATAAGGTGGGAAGAAATAAAAGGATTTCATTCAGAAAAGCAGACAGTTAATGTAGTTTTGAAATTCAAACCAAAGAATGAAAAGAAGTAGTTCGACTCGTTCCATTCCGTTAATTTTCGTTTACATTTTGCTTCCGAATTCTTAAAATATCGGCAAGAAAGAAACAAAATATTGTAAACAAACGAGTACGTCAAAAACATTGAACTGAAATAAAATTATTATATAATAGTTATAAATACATACCTATACAAGGTAGATACACAATATGATGTAGTAATATGTATGTACCCCGTTTATGTGGCTGTTTCAAGCTTATTATTGTCTATATAAGCGTTACTTGACCTGAATCCTGAAATGTTAATAATGATTTGAAATTTAATAGCTAAACGTCGTTTTTGGGCTTTTAAGCTAACATAGTAAAAACGAAGCTTGAGTTTCAAGCTAATTTCACGCCAAGCCGCAATATAGGTGAGGCATAGAAATCGAGCAATTTATAAAAAAAAACCCTATTACCAATATGCGTTTATATATGTATATTCATATATATTCATAAGAAATATTTATTTTAAATTTTTTTAACAAAATTAAAATAAAAACAAAAAATTCATAGTTTATATAACAATAAATTAACAATAAATTTAGTTTATATAACAATAAATTAGTTTATATAACAATGACAATTACTAATTACAAATTTTAAGTTTTTTGTTAAAATTTTTTGTCTTTTTCAAATTACATATATATAATATGTAAATTATATATTTTTTTATTTTAATATTCATATTTTGTTTTTCTCAGCTTTTATAATGTGGATACACCATTTCTGCCACCATGTACTGGAATAAGTTACAGAAATAAAACTTCCGCTTTTAAAATTCTTAATATTTTTCCTTATACCTTATACTCGTATACAAAAAAAATAAATAACTCCAGCTTTTCAAACAAAGTTTACAAAAAAACAGGTAAACATCTATTGCGTACTTTTTCTCTCTCCCAAAAATTCTTATGTGTATAAAAATGAAAATAAGAAGTATACTGCTTAACTCTTTTAGCTAAGGGAATTTTTTGTATACAAATATTGGTGAGTGATTGCAGTAGTGTGATGTAAACGGAGAGTCGAACTACTTATTAATAGATATACTTTGATCCAAACATATAAATTACATTGTGAAAAATAACGAGAAATGTAAACCAAGATTTTGTAATTCTTAAAATTACTTTTGTTTTTTGATCATCTATTATTCAGTGCATCAAACCGATGTTACAGAATAACAGAATAACAGTAAGACTTCCGATATTATAATATCTTAAGTTTCATAATTTAAGTTTAACATAATAAGTTTCTTTATTTTTAATATTAGGCATTTATTAATGACAAGTGTCAAAAAGATTTTTTCACGAGATGTAATCGACTATCTGTTTCAAGCAGTGATGAGATATTTGGTCGAGAAATTTATGCTGAATTGGGGAATATATGTATGTACATTCCATTTTATGCCAAATTTTAGAAGCTTAGTACTCGTAGTTCAAATGTACATAGTTAAATTAAAAGAGCGAACTTATTATTTTACGTATAAAAATGTAGATAAATTTAACCATCTAACCATTTTAATCTTAATATTAAAAATAAGAAACAATTCAAATCACTAACAATTGATAAATAATTGATAATAAATGTAGTACATCACACATTATCATAAAATTACAATACATTGTCATTTACAATATAAAACAAATAGCAACATCAAAGCAACAAAACAAAATCATTTTGTTTCTCAATTTTGAAGGTAAATTATTCAACATCTGCAAGTTTGACATTAAACACAATATACAAAGATTATTCACTTAGCATAATCTTTAAAAAACTCAATGCAAAATTAAGATCCATTACGCCAAATTTGGCATTAAAAACGCCAATATTCCAACACTTTACAGTATAATTTATACTTTATAATTAGTAGCACGACATATTATGTACATACATACATATTATTACAAAATTTAGTATTAAGCCCTTTTTGCAAAAATTTGATTATATTTATTACTTTATTATTATATATCATGCATTATATA